TTTTTTAAGATTTTATTTATTTATTTGAGAGAATGCAATAGAGCATGAGAGGGGGGAGGGTCAGAGGGAGAAGCAGACTCCCCACAGAGCAGGGAGCCCGATGCGGGACTCAATCCCGGGACTCCAGGATCATGACCTGAGCCGAAGGCAGTCACGTAACCAACTGAGCCACCCAGGCGCCCCGAATGTTTTTTAAAATTAACCTAATTTGAAATACCAATCTCTGTAGGCCACCAAGAAGGCTCTCCCATTCTCACTTGTGTTGAGTTATGAGCGTCTGCTCATGGGACTTGCAATGGAGTTTTACTTGTTGGGGTGTTTGTTCCCAATGCAGTAGGACTCGATTCTTGAGCCATCTCCTGGTTACGTCTCAAGATCATGTCCTAGTGCACTACAAACTAATTATGGGGCAATTACATAAACGTCTTAAATTTGATATTTTCAGTGGAGAGTTGAGAAAAAGCATTTTACAGATACAAAGCAGTTAGAGACCTATTTTAATAGTTGGGTTTTTTTTAATCATTTAGACCAAGAGAACTATGGAGTTGATATTATTTTATTTGAATTAAAAAAAATTTTTTTTATCTCAGCAATCTGAAAACTTACTAATTTTATATTAAGTCTGTCATTAAATCAATTTATTGCTTATATTTGTATATTAAATAGAGTTAGTACCAAATAATCTTTCAGTAACTTGTTCTTGTCTTCCAGTGAGGATGAACTGGAAGAAACAAATGGAAATAACCCCATTGACATTGAGATTGATCAAAACAAGGAAAGCAAAAAGGAGGTATTTTTTTTTCCCTAGTATTATTTAGGCAAATAAATTTAATTACTAGTTCCATAAGTAAAACATTCCTCTTACTCTATTTAAAATATTAAGTGCTATGTACAAGGCATCGTGATAAGACTTTTTAAACAATACTAACTTTGCTTTATAGACCTTAGAATTTTGTTTGCCAAGAAACAGGAATAAAGGAAGCCCTAAAGGAAGTGAGAGTGTTATCAACTAAGGATTTTGTCGCCACTGGGCAGCCGTCCTCACTGCCTTCTTCCCTAGGTTAGCGAGTGGTGGGGTGGTGTTGGTGAGGAACAGGTGAGGGTTTGGTTCCTCCTTTCAGCCCTCGGGGTCTCCTTCCTCACGATGGCCAGCTCCAGAGGTCTGCACAGTGGTTCTGGAGGAGGCTGGAGGGGGCTGGCAGGGACTCAGTGCAAGTGTTCCCGTTACTCAGAGCTAGCAGCATAGGTCATATGGCAGCGAGCCTCACACATGGTGAATGTTTCATCTTTCCATCTTAAAAATCATTATGTCAGAGGATGCAAGAGACCCATGAATTCCTACAATTGTATATGACTTTTGTATATTTATAACATTTCTTTATTGTAAACTGTCCATTGAGAACGATGGCGTGTCTAGATGATCTTAGTAACCTTTTGAAATGGGTTATAGTCTAAGGTTATTTTGCCCATTTATAACAATTAAGTAAAGCATATGTGGGATCCCTGAGGGCCCTCCAAGGAAACCCAAGGCTCCTTGGCACAGATTGGAAACCCTGAGCAACACAGCGTTATCTGCGGCAGGCCCCTGGTGGGCTAGTGATACAGTCCCTGGAGGAAAGGGCCTCGTTGTCCATTGGCGTCCTTTAGCTCCTCGGTTCAGGCTGGCGTGTTGCCTCCCAGTGTGGGATATGACTTTTATATGTTCATACAAGTGTTTTTCTGAAGACAGAGTCTTATATCTATAGTTTCAGTAAAACCTCAAAGAATTCTCTATCTCAAAAGGTTCTAAAGTATGAGAACAGCTGTTTTAGACTGCTCTACGAAAAACAAAAGGGTCTGGACATACCTAAACTTAAAAATCACGCCAGTAATACATGCTTTTTCTGGGCAAAGTAGGAGATCCAGTTAAACAAAAAAGGGAAATGAAGATGATTCACAATATTATCATCCTTAATCACTGCTAACATTTGGGTGACTTCTTCCAGATGACTTCCTATGAAATGAATATGCCTATTTACATAACTTTGAATCGGTACTCACTTTAAAAAAATAAAATGGGGTCTTAATATATAATATTTATAACCTTTTAAGTTTACTCTTTCTGGGACATGTTTTTATGTCAAATATATTTGTATACATAACTGTTGGTTTATCATACACACATTACATAATTCAGTCAAGTAATCTTAGGGGTTTTTATTGGTTCCCCCCCCTGCTTTTTGCTGTTATAAACAATGCTGAAGTGCTGATCTCATGATTAAATACTACTACTACACTGAATTTTTTCCATTGGAACAAATTTCTGGAAGTTGAATTGTTGGGTCAGGCTTCTTTTGGTATGCTGCTGCTGCATACCACCAAACTGAAAACTGGAAATTCTTTCTGGATGGCTCTCTAGCCAGTGATTTATATGAATGCCCAAATAGCAAGACTATTTTAATGGTTAGCTAAATTAGATTGTTTGGGAAATCAGATTGTACCTGCAGTTTTTAGGAAGCTTTGTTTTGATGCATTGTTCTGTATTAGGCTCTTCAATGGAACATTTTAAATGAAAGAGGAAAGGCTTGATTTTACATTAATTTCTATAATTCTTATTTATATGGCACAATTTCTGATTAAAAGAGAAAAATGATTGATATCTTAAATTCTTTATGTACTAAAATGTTGTTAAAACAGACACATGGTCATTCGGTGATCTTTACTAAACAGCGTAGTGCTGTTACAGACAAAGGTTATTGCCTCCTAATATTTTTATGTATTGTTTATGACCACTTGTTCGAGACCTCATGGGCACCATCGTAATTACAGAGTCTGCTTATCTCAGTGTTTTAAAATATGAAGTAAAAAAAAACCTGAATGTATTCTCAGCTTCATCAGCAGATGTAAATATGCTAGGAAGATGAGATTATTAACAATTACAAAAACTTCTTAAAATTGTTACCAGGAAGACAGTATCCTTTCCTTGCCAAGATTTTATTACATTTCATTTCCACAGGTTTCGGTTTTAGAGAAAGCACTTAAAAAAATGAGCAGCAGTCAATGCATTATAAAATGACAGCATATATTTTTGAGGCAAATTACACAGTTGCCGTAGAAGTTAAGAGTCATCCAAAAAGAGGTATATAAAAAAGTCACAGTTTCATATGGAAGTTTATATTTTAATAAACTTCTGTATAGATTTAAAGAATTTAAATGGATTTTTATATATGTGCTAAATCATATTTTTCTCTTTTCTTTTTGTGGTCCCAAATCCATCTATTTTGCTAAGAACTATTAGGATTAAATAGCTCCCCATTCATATATACAAAGCACACCAGACGAGAATACAGATCTTTTTTCTTCCTGTATTACTATAGTGAACTGAGAATGCCTATTGCCAGAGGCTTAGAGTGATAGAAGAAGGTTGTTTATACGGACAGCAGTGGATTCTACTTTGATGTGTTTAGCCAAAATTCAATAGCCAATGTTTTTGTTAACTGCCTGTTTGTAGATGGTAATTATGATATGGCATGGTGTTTGTCTTCAATTGTTTAGAGCCATGTTAAGAAAATATGCTTATTACTATTCTTTTGGCATTTTAATGTTTTAGAGCCTCATTTATCAAATATGTATATCATGCAGGTGCCCCCTACGGAGACAGTTCCTCAGATCAAAAAAGAGAAACATAGTACACAAGCTAAAAATAGAGCAAAAAGGAAACCTCCCAAAGGAATGTTTCTGTCCCAAGAAGACGTGGAGGCTGTTTCTGCCAACGCCACGGCTGCCACCACGGTGCTCAGGCAGCTGGACATGGAGTTGGTCTCGATCAAGCGGCAGGTACCGCGGGTCCCGTCCTGGGCGCGAGGGCTGACGGTGCTCCAGAGGCCTTTGTATGTTTCACACACCTAGCTGTGCTCTTCACAGATCTCTAAAGGGCATTTTGTTTCTCAGGAATTGGACAGAAGATCTTGGGTACTGATCCGTTGGTGTTCTTTAAATTAACTTTGAAATTGAAGATTTATGTATATATAGTGTGTGTGTGTGTCAGTGATTTTCACAGTGTAAGCACACCCAGCACACAACCACCCCCTTGATCAAGAAAAGAAACGCTGCCTCCCAAGCCCTGTTCATTTCCCCTTGTAGCCCCTGCCCTTCAGGGACTCAGTGTTGCCTCCAGTGCCTCACTCATCTCCCTCTCACCCATGACCCACCTTCTGTGAGTAGCTGATCGCTGGTCTGCTTTTTAAACCCCACATTATTATCCATTGTTTTATTTTTATATAAGCAAAATCATATGATGTGCTTTCTTTTACGCCCAATATTCATTCAACATATGAGATCCATCAGGGTGGTATAGAGCCATAGATGTTGTTCTTTCTCATTACTGTGTAAATACCCTGTGACTTACCCATTGTACTTCTAGTAGATGTTTTAGGCCATTAACAAATAATACTGATACATTTTATTATGTGACTCTTGGTGTGTTATGTATGCATCTTTGTTGGACACGTACATAAGAGCAGAGTTGCTGAGTTACAGAGTATGCATATGACCAACATTTTATTTCATTTTTTCTTCTCTTTCCTTCTCTTCTCTTCTCTTCTCCTCTCCTCTCCTCTCCTCTCTTCTCTTCTTTTCTCTTGAGGGGAGGGGGTTATGCAGAGGGAGAGGGAAAGAGAAACTGGAGCAGGCTCCACGCCCAGCACAGAGCCTGACACGGGGTTCGATCTCACAGCCCTGAGGTCATGACCTAAGCCAAGACCAAGAGTCGGATTCTTATCCAACTGAGCCACCCAAGGGCCCCTGTCCAGCATTTTCAGAAACAACTCCCAACAGTTTTCCAGGGTGGTCGTGTCGATTTATGTGAGTTTGGTTACACTACATTAGGGCCTGCTAAGTGTAGCACTACTGACATTGGGGCTGGGTAATAACTTGTCACGAGGAGCTGTCCTGTGCGTTGTAGGATGTTCAGCAGCATCTCTGGCCTTCACCCACGAGATGCCAGTAGCAGCTTGGCCCCATCAGTTGTGCCAGCCGAAACGTCCTCAGGCGTTGCCTAATTATCTCCCCCCACCCCGGGTGTGGGGGCAGAATTACTTCCTCCTTCCCATTCTGAGGCTTGCTTGCCTTTTCACTCTCTTAATGGTTCATCTTTTGATGAAATTTTTTACTTTAAGGTAGTCCAGTTTCTCATTCTTATCTTTTATGGTTAGTGCTCTTAAGAACCTTTCCTAGGGTTATGAAGCTAGTCTCCCGTGCTATCTTGAAAGTGGTGTTTTGCTCTTCGCATTTTGATCTTCTGTCTGTCTGGAAATGTTTTTCTGTGTGTGTTTTACATGTAGGGTTGACATTTGTGTTTCCATGTGGATAGCTAGTTAACAGTAATGTTGATTGAAGACTATCCTTTTCTCACCCCAATGCATTAGGACCTTTGTTTTGAATCCCATGTCCGTATATGCATGATCTGCTTTGGGGTTTTCTGTTGTTACTCTGGTCTGTGTGTCTATTCTTCACCGATACTATCCTGCCTTCATTACACCTACCTTACAAATCTGAGTATCTGGTCTAGATTGTAAGTTCTCCAAGATTGTCTGTCCTGGCCCTTTGTTTCCATAGAAAATTTAGATTCACTTTCTCAGTTTCCAGAAGAATAATTCTTCTAGAATTTTTATTGGGATTGTATTGAATGTATAGATCAAAATAGAGACTTAGCATTAAACTGGAGAACTAACCCGGGACTCACGAACATGATCTGCCCCCCACCAACACAGATCTGTAACTCTCGGTGTTGTGCTGTTTCTGCGTCCAGCGCTTTGTCGGAGTTACCCTAGATGTTTGGTACGTTATGATGCTCTTGTGAAGGATACTGTTCTTAAAATTAATCCTTTTCTAATTATTTATGTCTCTCATGAGGAATGGCTCATCATTTGAATCTGATTTTACACGGTACATTTCAACTGCAGATTGAATCGAGTAGCCTAATGTTGTCCTTTCATTAGTGTTCCGCCCCTCCCCCATCCTTCTCTCTCTGGAATTCAAAGCCAGTTGTGGTGGACGGATGGTTTACTTTTAGTTTTTGCTGCTTTTGACTCGTTGATCTTGATGGTTCCATGGAAGGTTGGATAGGAGGCCAACCATCATTTCACAGATGAGAGGAGGGGGCTGTGGGCCGGGTCTGTCACCTCGTGACCAAGTGTTCCTGTGCAGGCAGAGGACTGGCTTCGAGTCTTGGCTGCTGGCACAGTGCTGCACCCTCTTCTTAGGAGAATCACTTAATCTTTCTGGGCCTCTTTTCAAATGAGGAGATTAATCCTTGCCTGCCTGATCTTACCCTGGCTATCTGAGGGCTGCTGCGTGAGGGAGCGTTTTAAGCCCTGTCTGCGCTGGAAGAGCTCTCTGGTTGGGGCTGTGAGCTCCCACATGCACTTTCATCTTCCTGTACAAGGGGCCTCGTTTCCCCCTCTGCTGAGCAAGTCCCTAATGCTTGCCATTCAACGTTAATACATGGAGGAAAGAAAAGGAGCCCCCTTCTTCCATGGAGGTGTGACTGACAGTACAGTCAGATACAACGGTCTTTGGTTTCACAGCCAGGGTCAGGAGCAGGGCTTTTTTACTGGAAGCTAGCTACTCCGAGTTCACACTGAATAGAGAGGGTTACATCTCCAGGGAGGAGACGGGTTGTTCACCCCCCACAGCCTGGTGGGGCTACTGCCAAACGCACTTGCCGACTCACAGTGGCAACCGGTGCACACCCCGGACATGCTGTCTGGATGCCTCCATGTGTGGTGGGGTATCAGGGAAGGGCTCGCACGAACATAGCAGAAAACCTGACTGACAGCAGCTTAAACAATTCAGAATTTATTTTTATCAAATAGCAAGAAGTCCCAACGCCAGTAGTTACTGGCATCAGCCCGTCTTTTCAGTGGTGTTGTCGAGGACCCAGATTCTTCCACATTTTCTCCTCTGCCATTCTTAGTGTCCTGGCTTTCGCCTTGCTGCCCTCTCGCATTGGAAGCTTCAGAAGCCATTCTGTGGCCTGCACATCAGCGTTCAGGGCAGAGGAGGGGCTGGAGGTGGAGCCAGCCCATCTGCCCTCCTAGCAGGAGAAGCTTTTACCTTCCCGGGGGCTCCTGTCCTTTGTGCATGCCAGAGCTCTGCAGAACGGCTCCTCCAAGGTCCGAGGAAGACCCCCAGCCTCTATGGACGATACTTGTGAGAAGGGGACTGGGGAACAGACGTCTGTTCGATTAGCGAGTGGCCAGTGCCTGGTGCATTAGGTCTCCTGGGTGGAGAGGGAGACGGTCACACAAGAAAGTAGAAAAGCCCCATACAGCTGGGAGGTCTAGGTAAGGCACCAGGCCAAGTCAATGGCTTTTTTTGTTTTTTTCTTTAAATGCTGATTGCTTTCTTACCGTATTTCTTAACACAGCTCGTTGCCACTCTGACTTCCAGTTAGCATGATGTTGGCAGCCAAACCCTATCCTTATTCTGGTAGTAAACACTGAGTATTTCTAACAAGGCAAATACATTAGGAAGAGAGATGAAGGTTAATGAGAATTTAGAGCTAACTTTTAGTTCAGAATTTGTGGATGTCTTGCCGTGTAGTCCCTTATGTAATCTCTATGATGCTTTATTGATTTTTAAAGAGAAGATGCATGTGGTAAATAGGTTGGTCTCCTTAGAAAAATGTATGTTACTTAATCACAATGCAATATATCCCCAGTTTTATACATATGTGAACAACAAGCTGGAGCAAATAGAATAACATATTTAACTGGCGTGCTTGGCGGCATCGAGTATTCTAGATTGCTAACTTTTGAGAACTCGCGTATTCCCTGTCACAAGTTTCTAGGTCTAGTTTTTAGCCTAAGGAGAGTTCAGCGGACATAATCTTGAATGTCTTACAACATTTTATGGGTGGTTGGTGCCTGAGAGCTCTGAGCAAGAGTCTAAGACCCTGCTGTTTGATCGGGTAGCCAGTAGACACACATAGTCATTTAAATTCAAGTTTGGATGAAAGTAGAAGACATGAAAAATTTGATTCCTTAGTTGCATAAGCTCCATTTCAGGTGCTTAGTAGTGACATGTGGCTGGCGGCTCCCATGTCAGGTAGCCACGGCTGCAGAATACTGCATCCAAGAACATTCTGTGAGGTAATGCTGCTCTGAGAGCTTGGCGTCACCGTCCCAGTAACTCACTGTGAATCAATTTCTGGTACCAGTTTATTTTATTTGACTTTTCAAAAATGAAAATGTTTTAGTTTTACAGTAGAGTAAATTTTGTGCACATTTCCTATATTTTTCTTTTCAGTTAAGTTTCTATGTTCTGATTTGACATTAATAGAAAAAGATTTGGCATAGGCTGTATTTCTGATAGGCTTTAAGGCCCTTACGAGTGGCAAACAGGCTCACTTTCTGGTCCCTGACAGGGACCAGATCTTACTTACTGGGCCACTGGTCCTCTGTACATCTCCACCCCGTTTTAAATCTTTTAGAAGAAGTAAAACATAGGAAAGGAAATGCAAAACTAGAATTCTGTGAACCGTAAGTATTTGAAAATGAAATTTTCTTCTAAGTATAAAAAGATTTGTAGAGGAGAGAATTATTAAAGTGTCCATGAAACCGTGTCCTTCACCACCATCTCCGCTAATCTCCCGTCCCTCCCCTACCCCTCGAAGTCCTACTTTTCTTTATTTGTCTTAATAAGGTTGCTGCTTTCGAGGGCACCTTCTGCTCATGAGGGTCTTTGAGGTTTTATTTGGGAAAATGAATTTGTTTCTCCCCTTGCTTGCTTTTTTTTTTTTTTTTTTTTTCTTTTTTTGCCCATGGGATTATTCAGAAAGGAAAAACCCTAGGGTCAGAGTCCTCCCCTGGTGCTTCGCCTAGAAATGCCTCTGCACGTAGGGCTGAGCGGGAAGGGCCCATTCCCGTGACCCAGCTCATTCAGGAGTCCATGCAGAAGTCAGGAGGAGCCATGGATTGATTCAGTGGTTGGTGGTGTTTGTGTCTTTCTTTTGATTAGGTATGAGCAGTGAAAGATGAGGTGCATCGAATCCAAACAATAATGTGGAAAAGAAAATCTCTGAGAAAGTGAAGAATTACAGTTGATGAAAATTAGGCTTGTGGGAAACTGACATATTGCTTTCTTTTTTCTTCTCGTTAAAGAAGGCTGCATTGTGGGCTTTTGCCCTGTGTGGTGCCTGGACGGACAGTGCTTGGGGCTCTGGGAGTCTGCATCTACAGTCCTGCTGCAGAGCCCATGCCTCTTCTCTTGACTCTGCCCGCTCTCCTGCTTGAGCTCAATTCTCTGTGGCGGGAAGCCCAGGCATTGCCTGTCTTTTGTGTCAGACTCCAGATACGCTACTCAGGGGATGAACTCTTACGAAATTATGAGTTAGGACTGTGCACACAGGAGCCCTTTCACCGCCATGCCCTCCTCCTCGTCCCTTGTGTGCTGCTCTAAGCAAGTCAAAGCATCTAGTTAGATGCTCTGAAGGGTTACTGTAGGGACCTCAAATCTTGGCTACCATACAGATCTGGTACTTCTTTGCTCTTGGTTTTTTGTTTCTTTTACTTTTTTTTAGTTTTGTTTTCATTTCATACCTTTATAAAAGTTTTTCATTTTTAAAATTAAAATACTTTCTTCCTTAATGATGTAATGTATGGGGATTAACATAAGAATAAAAAAAAAATTGTAAAAATAAAAAAATAAAAAATTAAAAAAAAAAATACTTTCTTCTTTCTCTTAGATTCAGAATATTAAACAGACAAACAGTGCTCTCAAAGAAAAACTTGACGGTGGAATAGAACCATATCGGCTGCCAGAGGTAGGATTACATTGACATCATCTTAGAAGTCATGACCAAGTTTTATGTGCTAAGAATATAATGCCTATATAATACATCTCCAGTATACAACCCATAGAAAGAAAGGTATAGACACAATATTGAAAACCTAGTTGATGTTGAAATTCTGATAGGAGAAAAAATAAGATTCATTAACTCTTGTAAGGACATACGCACGTGTAGATGCATTATGCTCATGTGACTCATTTGGATATGCAGGTCATTCAGAAATGTAATGCACGTTGGACCACAGAAGAGCAGCTTCTTGCGGTACAAGGTATGGGGAGTCCTTCTTGTGGGCTTGCAGCCCTGGCACCTTTAGGAAAAGTCATGCCTCACCCCATTCCCATCCCACCACTTGTGGGAGTGTGTTGGGTTCTGAATGGTCAGAAAGTACAAAACCCCAAAAGCAGCAGGTTGTCAGAATTTTACAGTTGGGAGGTATTCTAGTCCTGGGGATCCTGAAAAGAAGAATGCAGAATGTCCATAGCCACAGGATGCTGGCTGGGTGACTTCAGGTATCTTGGGACAGGTGACAGAAGGTGCAGATTTCTGGATGACAGGGTCATACTGGACTTCTTAGATCAGTCATCTACGAAATAGATCTACGTTGCTGCTTTTTCCCACTGGTATAATGCATTAAGATAGTGCCTGCTGTTAGAAGCCCCGTATGTTTTCTTATCTAGATAAAGGAAGGGGTAAGTCTCAGTTGTGTGGGTTTTTCAAAGTTGTTTTTCCCCTATATTGAAAAACAATGCTCTCTTACGTCCTTAGCCATCAGGAAATATGGCCGAGATTTTCAGGCAATCTCAGATGTGATTGGGAACAAATCAGTGGTACAAGTGAAAAACTTTTTTGTAAATTATCGACGCCGCTTCAACATAGATGAAGTTTTACAAGAATGGGAGGCAGAACATGGTAAAGAAGAGACCAATGGGCCCAGTAGCCAGAAACCTATCAAGTCCCCGGATAATTCTATCAAGATGCCTGAAGAGGAAGACGAGGTAAATCTGAAACAATAAGATCGCTGCCAGGTTCATGCTCGATATTTGGTTTCTTCTTTGATGGCCTTTCTCAGCTGTAGAAAAATTTTTAGCTCTCAGCTCTGTCAGTGACTTGACTTTTACCTATAAATACCATAATGTGAGTGTTGACGCCAGTTAGTTTTTGGTCACTAGGTAAATTATTCAAATTTAATTGCTGTACAAATTCTTAGTTCCATCCTGGTTTCCTCCAGTCACAGTATATTCCACATTACCAACATTCCTCAGATCGAGTAAGAACTCAGCCATAAAACAGTTAGTTGGAAGTGCCCTGAACAGCGTCAGTCAAGCTCAGTCATATAAAATGCACTGTCATCTCAATGGGAGGTTAATGAACTTACTGGTAAATCGGTGCAGCTAGCCAACCAGGAGCTCCTAGGTCTGTCTCTGCTGTCCCAAATCAACCAGACTTTGATGCTGTTTGGGGCTAATGGGTTTAAATATTGATGGGGACAATTCCAGGTTCTGTGGTTGGCTGGACCTTCCAGGCTGGTGGCTGACATTCTGGCAATCTCCAGGATAGCTGCACCTATCTCCTCTGCAGACTCGGCACAGCTTAGGCAGCCAGACTGGTGAGGCTGCACGGCCCCCGGTGCTGTCTCCCTGCTTCCTGGGACAGGGCTGCCGGCCTTTTCCCTACCTAGTCTGGCTGGCCCTGCTACATGTATTTACCCCCGCTCCCACAGAGGAGGAGAATGGGGCTAGACAGAGGTAAGAGTTCATTGCCAATCACTTGACATTTGAGTTTGTTCACTGACACGGAACTCCAAGGATTAATTGAGCTTTACAGGAAAATTTACTTTCTCATCAAAGCCTCTCCCAGACCATGCAGGAATGATTTGAAATTACCTAGTTTGTATTGTCTGTGCTCCCCCTTTACTCTAAGAGGCTGGTTATAAAAGCTGCCCAGAGGCCCCCCTCCTGACCTGAGCACACACAGTGCCTCACGAGGGAGATCTGCACCGCCCCCCACTATGCCATAGATGGAGCGCTCCGTGCCTCTGCACCAGTTTGAAAGGCCACAAGGTACTTCATCTGTCAGAAGGGTGTTAAAACATCCTCATTTTGTTAGACTCTTTAGAGCTTTCTACCAGAAAATCTTTGTAATAAGTGTACAGAATTTATATTATTAACAATGTGAGTGTTTTCCTGAGCCACACGCATGCATGGCCCAGCCTGAGACCCTGCAACCTAGCAGCATGTGAGCAGAGAGAAGGGGTTTGCAGCTTTGAGCAGTAATTCTTGTCCCAGTGCTAGTTGCCACTTTAGCAGCAAATTAACTTCCCTCACGTCCTGCACTCAAGAAGCATTGAAAGATGAGAATTACCAGGGAAGGAATATTAGAATTTGCAAGAATGACAGCTTCCATGTGTGTTTTTCAGCTTTAGTCCCAGGAAGCAGAAATAATAGGAAACTCTAGCTTTCTTCCTTCTTCAAATTTAATCAAAGTGGGTGTTGGCAGGGTTAGCCTAAAGAATGTGGTCGTAAATTTGGGACCGAGGGCCATCACCAATGGGATGGCATGTGAGTTCTTTCCCATATATTTTCCTCCCTTTTCTTAAGCCTGGTTCATTCACTGACAGTAATTCTTCATGGTCCATTCACCATGTTGATTGCACATCAAAATATACGCACATAATTCTCTTCACAGTCTCTGGGAGCATTGGCTCACCCATGACCGCATTTCCCACCAAGCAGCACGTCTTCATGTCTCTCTGGTGGTTGATCTTCCATGTGTCTGTTTGCCCACCCTTCTCTTCAAAACCAGCACTATTACCTGACTTCTCTTTAATGTATGATCTTTATGTTGTCTGTAAACATTTTCACCTCCTCAGTCATTTAAATCCCCGCCATCACACACCTTATTTCCTTTTCTTTGGCTCCTTCCTTCCTTTTCTTTCTTAATTTACTTAAGAGAGAGCAAGAGAGAGTGATCACAGAAGGAGAGGCAGAGGGAGAAGCCGACTCCCTGCTGAGCAGGGAGCCCGATGCGGGGCTCGATCCCAGCACCCTGGGATCATGACCTGAGCCGAAGGCAGACGCTTCACTGGCTGAGCTACCCAGGCGCCGCGGTCCCTTTCTTAGGCTCCTTGTCGTACCAGCCTTCCCACTCTACCACCCTGCTTTTCTCTTCTCCGTATAGCAGTTTGCAAAAGGAAATCAGTCTGTACAGGGACCAGCTGCTTCTCTGTGTCCATGAGGGGCCTGAGGGAACTTGTTAGAATGCTGGTTTAATTGTCTGTCTAGTCAGTGCCCAGAACTGGGTGCCCCTGTAATTTCTCATTCTTGTGTAGCCCGTGGATTCCAGCAGCTAAGAAAGAGGCCTGCTAGTGTCCTGCCCACCCCTTCTGCCCTCAGATTTTATGTGTTAAATGTAGCACAGACAGGGAGGAGGACATCAGAATTGCCAGAAGTTCCAGTAACATAATGGCCTGTTAGCTGTAGGCTTTATTTTCTTCAGGGCCTAGAAGGGAAGGCAGCCCACGGGTTTTGAGCTTTTGAGATTCAGAGTTCTCTGAGGTGGACAAGGATGCAGTACAGAGCGGGGGTGGGTGCGTGTCAGAACGGGTGATGGGGATGCTAGACAGGACCGGCTCAGAGGTAGAGTCTCCCTTAAAGTTACAGAATGGCTTGAGTGTGTTACTAGTGAGGAGAAATCTCCTGACCTAACTGTTCTCATAAATTGTGATATCGCCCGAAGGAACCACAGTTTTCAGATTTGGGGTTCATAACCCAGTGGTTTCCCTAGCAGTAAGAGAGACATCATGAGGGTATCAGTGAGTACTAAGATACCTTGTAACTTTCTGGTTTGGTTCTGGGAGTCTGTTTTAGTTCAGAAATGCCTTTGAGGCTTTTAAAGAAGATCCCACAATCTTGGCTCTCCTGTGTGTCGCTGTGTCCCAGCGCGGGCCAGTGGCTGTTGGTTGAGTGGGGTGGGTGCCACGGCTTCCCTCCAGCCAGTGCTGACACGCCTGAGAGCTGCCTTTGGCCACGCATTGTGCTGACAAGCCCTTTCCAGGGGTTTTATCTGATCCTGCGAAGTAGACATCACTATTGTGTCTATTCTGCAGATGAGGAAACAGAAATTGGAAAAGAAGTAACTCATCCAAGGATCCACATCTAGAAAGTGGAAGAGCCAGGATTCGAGCCTGAGATATCTGGCCATGGAGGCCGCCCCCTTAACCTTGCCTGCCGTGCCCAGGCCCTGCCCTTAGGAACACGCATGCGTGCGGGATAGACAGGCGGCCCACACCCTCTCGCCCTGTCTCGCCAGACCAGAAGTAGTGGTTTGCGGTGTTTACCTGCTCTTTGATTTTTTTTTTTCTTTCCCCTTTTCTCCTCAGGCTGCTTCTGTTCTTGACGTCAGATACGCATCTGCTTCATGAGAAACTCTGGTAGCTTTGAGCACTTGGTATGGACGACTGTGTTATCCAGGATATCAGGTATTACAAGACATCACCTAGCCATCTGCATCACATCTCTGTGGACAAGCAGCTATTACCAAAAAAGGCATACACTTCCAGTCCTGTGCTCCATCTGCCTTAATTCTGTGCTCGTTCCTCCATGTGGCGCCACTTCCCAGAGAGCCCCTTTGCATCTCTCACACTCTGCCTCAGTGCTGGGGAGTCTTCGTGGCCTGCACGCCTCCTGTGACTCTGGGGACCCCTCCCCAGTCGAAGCTCCTGAGCCCCACCAATGGCAGCTCTGCCCAATCAGCAGCTTCTTCAAACAGGTAGTCCACTTGGAAGGCACGACTCTGTTCCTGCATGGCCTGCAACTTCTACTTTGTGCATAATGTAATTTTCAGAGTGACTGTGACCCTGTTGGCCTTTTAGAAAGTTTCTCTTGGTCTTTTCTGAGGCAGCCACCTAAGTGATATCATGCTTCTTTGGAAATCACCGTATACTGGCAGACTGCATTATAACCTCCATTGTGCCAAACATCCTGAGACAGCTCTCATTTCCCCAAATGTTGGGTGTAATTATGGTTTGTAAATTTATCTGGCTTAAATCTCGCCCTTCTCCCTTCCCAAGTGGTAGAAAGCTCATTCACAGCAACTGTCCTTGGACGCTAGCTTAAAGGGAACGTGGACCTCAACACTTTCTGCCTTCAGCTTTCAGCATTGTAATCCCAGGACGGGAGCCAATCCTGTCTTTTTGGATCCCCCCACCCCACCATCCAACTCCAAGAGATGCGGTCCATACCACTGTACCTGGTGCTTGTGCATTGGAATTGGTGCCTTCTCCTTTTGGCAACCATGTTATCAACCCTTTTTCTGTTTTAGTGTCTTATTTCTTCTTTAAAGTTTATTGCTTGCCAAAGATAACATCACTGAGATTAGGAGACAGGGGAGAAATTGCTGCAGATTCTGACAGAGTGCAGATTTTAAATGTCAGGTTAGCTCAATAAAGGGTATTAGAATAACTGGTGAGGGTTTTATAAAAGCTACACATTATGTGTTCCCCGTTTTGTTGGTATGCCTGGCCTTCTACATCTCACTCCATACAGCTTTTTTTGTCCTTCGTATACTGACGTGATCATATAAACCCCATTCTTTCTCTTTTAATATTATAGTACAGGACAGAGAAGTGATCAGTTTATCGGCTCTAGTAAGACCAAGACGAAAAGAAACAATGTACAAAGTGGTCTGTAATGCCTTTTGGTTGGACTGGGAACAAGTAAATGTTTCTAATAAATGTTCTAAGATTTCCAGAATCACTTATTCTCGTACCAGACTCTGGACCCGCTGCGGGGCTGAGGGATAGACTGTCAGACTGCGTTCTCGCATAACCTGTGTCCCGCCCACGGTCAGTCCAGCCTGCACTAAATATGTTGAAGGAGCTTTTGTTGTTGCTGTTTTGCATCATTTAAATATTTTTCCTGCTTTCAATACCAAAAAGAAAAAATGCAGATGCTTTAAGGCACAAACAGAATTCTTAAGAATTTAAAATATGCAATTAAAATCTGATGTGTTTTGACTCCCAAGCACCTTGCCTCCCCCCCCCCCCACTTTTTTTAAAGTCAGCTGATTGTCTCTTTAGGAAGAACGTCAGCTAGAAACCTAGACTGTTTGGATTTGTATGTTTTTAGAAATCTGGAGAAAGGTCATTCACAAGGGCAGTAAAATGGGACTTTCCCGACTTTTGTCATCTTGTCCCTTCACAGGGAGTCTGTGGGTCAGGTAAGAGCGTGTGAAGAACGGCATCTGAGGAGGCCAGAGGGCAGTCACAGCTCGCTGCTCCTACCTAGACGGGGTAGCCTAGTAACACTAGTCATGAGGTAGGATTGGTTTGGGCTCGTATCCTAAGCCTGCTGTGTGATTGGAAAATGGCAGGTAAACCATGGAGAGGAGGTGGCAAAAGTTTTGCACATCGCTTAAAGGGGACACTAGGCAAGAAGCGAGGCCGTAGGTTCTCTTTGCTTCTCAAGGCCTCCTTCCTCTTTATGGAAGCAGCAGGCAGTTTGCTGCAGTGGGTCTCGTTCTGCCAGTAGATCTGTTCCTCTCCGTGCCCGGGCAGTTCTCCTTCTGGCAAGGCGTGAAAGCCCCATGCTGGTTCCTAGGGAGCGGGGCCCCTGGGTGTGTTCTGCACCATCCCCTCATGTGCTCGCCCAGTGCTGAGGAATCACTGCTCCAGTACCCGAGGCCGGCCACAGCAGCCCGGCTCTGGCTTTCTCCACCAGAAGGGGGCATCGTTGTTGTCATTGGCCAGAAGGAAGAAAGATGGTGGTCTTTGCCTGACTCCTTCTCCACCTTGTAGTTTCAAGCATAACGTAGCACTGTGTTTTAAACTGTTTCATTACACTGTCTTTGCAATGATGTTGTAAATGCAAGAAATCACTTAGCTTTAAAAGCTGAGTGATTGATCTTATTTATGTGAAGCCCCTTTTTTAACATATCAAGACTTCGGTGCATCAGCAGGTCGTGTTTGGATGTATAAGGGTCCACGGTGACAGCTGCTGCGGATGCAGTGTTCACTTAAGCTTTGTCTTCTTAAAAATTGATCAATGTGAATGTCATAATTATATATATATTTTTGTGGAAAATTTCTCCTAAGTATAAGTTATTGTGCAAAATATAGTACCATTGAAGCAAATGATAGTTTAACTTTTAGTTTAGAAATCCTAAAAGATATAAATTGTACTGCATATGCATTAAAAGTTTGTTCTATTTAATTTTATGTAGGTGTGTCAAGTGTTAGGTAAAAATTGTTTTCACTTATCCATTTAAACACCTTGTTACTTGAATATTGTGCTGACTGGTCTGAACCAGCAATCGACCCTGTAACATAGCTGTTTTAACCAGGAAGGCCGCGCCTCAGTTGTGCTCACAGTCAGGTGCTGGTGCCTACAGGAGGCGGCAGTTAGTGTAACACACCCACCGCGTGGTCTTGGGGTGTTTGTGGCCACCAGGACACCAGTTCCTCAAAATGGTTTTTGATAGTTTTTAACCTATACAACCCTTCGATGGTCACCAACCTCTCTAATCAAGAAATGAAAATGAAAAAATAGTTGCGTTTTACAAGCTTACTGTGGTGGACTAATTAAGCAGTTGTTTTCTGTGTATAAAAGTTCCCTCAGACACCACGCACCACTCTAAGTGTGCTCACTGTCACTTTAAATTTCAACTACGCCCTATTTTTGTCTTTCTAAATATCAGATGTACTATTGGTATAATTGCATACCAAAAATAAGCCAAACAGTGCATTACACTAACTGGATCCCTGCTTAAACGGAGCAAAGGAAAGACGGAGCCAACTCAGACGAGAGCCTCGTCTCCTCTCTCGTCCAGCCTGTGTCTAAGCCCAGTGACCCAGGATCCAAGCTTTCAGTATCGAGTGAAACTTGGCTTCCCGTTGACTCAAGGTAGTTAGCTAATCTGAATCTAGTGATCTTGTGCAATGCTCAAAAACAGATTCTCTCTCCGCCCCTCCCTGGGTCCCTGCAGCTTTCCCTCTTACACTAAAGCACAATTGCGGCAATGTTACAATTCAGAAGAAGGAAGGTCAGTAGAGTCTATGCATGTCGTGTGATAATGAGTGTTTACAGTCACCTTCTCCGAAAACTAAAATTTTTACTGGAGTGGATAGTATTCCATTACGTAGACCTATCAACTTTGCTAAGTGCTTTTTAGATTGCTTAAAAATTTTTCAAGATTTTAAAAGATGTATAAGGTTAAGTTTGCAAATATAATGGAAATGCTGTATATCTTTTGAAGTGATAAAATCCATGTTGGAATTTTAAAGAAAATATGTTGTTAATAATGCTGTTGTAAGTAATATTTTAATGTCTCTTTTTGCCTGTTTTCTATATCAGCACACTCATTGTGGTGAATGTTCATAGCATTATAATTGCTTAGCCATTGAATGATAACATTTGTTAGTGGAGATCGAAAAATTTATTTGTGAAATTCTGCAGAATTCATTTTTCTATTTCTAATATTTGCTGAAGTTAAATAAAAAATTTTCAAGCCATTGATGTAATAAAATATGAGACCAAACCATTTTCTGCACCCTCCCCTTTCCATCAAAGCAGTGCTCCGCGCTAATGCGTAGTGGGGTTTTGCTTTGGGCCTTGGGGTTTCGGAGCGTAGACGCCCCCCAGAACTACACCCTTGGAAGCAGCCACGGATGCCTTCTGTGTTTAGCCTTTGGCTCTCCTTGAACTGCAATTTTTTTTTTTTTTTTAATTTTAATGTACGATGAACTTACAGTTGGGACCAAGTTGAAGTACATGAATTCATAAAAGTTGGCAGCTGTTGAGGGCTTACATTTTAAGGTTCAGTGAGAGGACATTTTTTTCCCCATTAGTGGTTTTTCTCTTTTCAGCGTGACCAGGCTTGACACCTGGATGCTGGCCTCTGCACAGCCCTGGACCGTGGCAGTGAAGAGGCGGACCACTGCCTTGTCGCCTCTGGTCTGCCGAGAGTGGACACAGCTCTGACCTCAGCACCTCCGAGTGGTATGAAGAACACTCTGAGCACCCACTGGTCACCTCTGCCATCTCCTCTTTCGTAGCCAGAATGTAGGATCTGGCTAGAGAACTGCTAGAAGAACCTGACTTCCGAATCCAGCGTTGCTTCAGGCAGCATTTAAGATACGCAGAGGGGGTCCCTCTCTGTGTGGGACTTGGCAGGGGGTAGAAGGGGGTTCGCAGGACACCTGTGAGAGTTCGTCCCCCAGTCACCACGCTCGGCGTCACAGGAGAGGTCTCCGTGGGTGACACCTGAGGGCAGCAGCCAGGAGGGGCGGACAGAGGCTCAGAGGCCGCCACGCGTGCCTCGTGGAGGTGCCTCGTGGTACCGAAAGCACCCTGGGCTGTCCTGCCAGGAGGTGGGAGGAGGGAAACGGAGAGTGCAGGCGCAGGGAGAGAGGAGGAGAAGAGGAGGGTCAAGGCTGAGGGAAGGAGGTGGCCCGCTGTCAACAGTGCTGGACGCCTGCCAGGATGGGGGCCAAACGGGCCGCTTGGGCTTGGCCTCCATTGCCTTAGAAGAGCGACCAGCACTAAGGGAAAGACGCGTGGAGGGAGTTAGGGCAGTGCTGAGCGGAGGGCTTCCAAAGGCTGGCCTAGCCGCCACGCCGGTGCGGGGGCCTCAGGCAGCGGGGAGACCTGGCTGGGGCCCGACCCCGAGGGTGCCTGAGGAAGCACGGGCCCCGGCCGTGTCTCGCGCCGCAGGGCCCCTGGTCTCAGGCCCGCAGGCCCGCAGGCGGAGCTGCCCTCTCGGGGGCGGGCGGCGCTGGGGGCTGGGCGTGGGGGCAGCCCCCGCGGGCCACGGTGGTGACCGACTGAAGACGGCCCCTGTGCCTTCTCGTCCCCCGCTCCCGTTCCTGGGATCACGTTCAGAATCAAGCCCTCCTCGTGGGCGCTGCTTTCCAGCGCCCTCGGGGCCAAGAACACGCGGAGGCGGCAAGTCTCCCTGCCGGCAGGTGTGTCCCGGGCTCCATGGCTTCTGGCCGGCGGGGGGTAGGCCTGGAGAGCGCTTGGCAGCCTGTATTTCGGGAAGGGGCGAGGCAGCAGCTCCACCCGGAGCGCGGGCACTGAAGGCCAGCCTGCTGCTCCCGGCGCCCGCAGCTCCGTTCCCCGAAGCTGTGGCCCCGGGGAGCGCGCCGCGCGGCCCGGTCTCCCTCCTCCTCGGCAGTTAAGCCCCGCCTTGTCCCCCGCTGCAGCGGCTTCATTAGGGGCCGGGCGCTCACGGGCCACCCCGCCGGAAGCCGTCCCCGGGCAGCCTCCCAGGTACGCGGCCCCGACGCAACCGCGGGCCTTCCCCGCTTTCAGCTCTCCTTCCCTGGGCCGTGCGTTCCCCCGGCCGGGCCTGACCGCGCTCGCACCGGGCTCCGCGCCCGCGTCCGTCCGTACCTCACAGGGCCCCGGCCGGAACGCCTCTGCCCCGCTCCTCCTCGCAAGTTCTCCGTGTCTGCACGGCTGTGCGTCTGGTCACCTACCCCTGAGTCCCCCTCGCGCCTCCCCCCATTGCTCCTGCGGCGACAGCTCGAGCCCTTCCTGGGCCGCTCACCTCGGCCCGACACCCCTCGTCCCCCAGCCGTCGTCAGGCTGTTTGCTGCTTAGAACATCTGTCTTCTAGAGAAACCCAGCCCGGCGTGCGTGTGCTACGTGACCTTCCCGCTTCAGGAATGTTCTGTGCTTGTCTGGCTGCGGTGCCTCCCCCTGCTGCCTGGCCCTGCCCCCACCACGTCCACCTCTCTGCGCTCACC